CCCTCCCCCCCCCCCCCAGCGCCGCTCCCCTCCTCGCCGCACCTGAGAAGATGAAGGAGGCGATGGGTCGGCTGGGGTTCTTGAGGCCGACGCGGGCGCGGCGGATGGCGCGAGAGATGGCCGTCACCGCCTCCTCCTGCCCAATCACGCGCCCGTGCAGCACCTGCTCCATCTTCACCAGCCGCTCCGTCTCGTCGGAGGAGACCTGCGGGGGGCAAGCAGGCGAACACAGCGTTTAGCAGGAGAAGGATCAGGCGAGCAGGCGGCGATCCCCGGCCCCAACTGCAGGCCACCTGGCCGCTCCCGGGCCCCACATTTCAGGCCCTGTGGCTGCTCCCTGGGCCCCACAATTCAGGCCCCACAATTCTGGCTGCTCCTTGGAGCACATTTCAGCCCCTCGGGCTGCTCCCAGCGTGCCCCACCACACACACACACCATACGCACCCCCCCACAGCCCCCCCCCCCCCACACCTTCTCGATCGGGATGCCCGTCCACTGCGCCACGATGTTGGCAATGTCCTGCTCGGTGACCATGGGCCCGCCGCCCTCCCCGCTCTCCATCTCGGCGCGTGCCGAGTCCTTGGCGCTGCTGGTGATGGCGGAGATCTGCGACTTGAGCTCCATCTCGCGGTCGCGCAGCGACCCCGCCTTCTCAAAGTCCTGGGCCCTGCGGGGCACGCGCGTTTGGATGGGGATGGGTTTATTTTGCTTGCTCCAGGAGAGAGTGTGGTGGTGCTCGAAGCAACCGGTCCCTTGCCAGGTTTGAGGAAAGCGAGGCAGCACGCCACAGCAAACTTTCATTCTGTTCACTAGGCGTGCCGGGCGGGAGGGGCGCGGGGCAGGCGCGCGGGCAGCGGCAGGCAGCTGTTGGCGGGCGGCCCGGCGCAGCGTGCGCCCAGCGCAAGTGCAACAGGCCACGGCAGCAGCCGGTTGGCAGCCCAGCACCTCCACAGCTGCGCCGGTGCATCCACCCCGCCCAACCCCCGCCGCGCTCCGCAGCGGCGCGCTCCGCAGCACCTGCTGCCGCCCCCGGCGCTTCCTTTGCGAGCCGGCAGCAGCAGCCGCAGCAGCAGCGGCGGCGGCGGCAGCAGCAAAGCTACCCAGCGCTTCCGCAGCCGCGCACCTGACGGCGGCGTCCTTCTCCTTGAGCAGCGCGCGCAGCTCCTTGTCCAACTCGCGAGCCTCCTCGGGGAGCTGGGCGTGCCGCAGGCGCACGCGCGACCCGGCCTCGTCAATCAGGTCGATCGCCTGGGAGAGAGGAAAGGAGGGAGGGGAGGAAAGGAGGGAGGGAGGGGAGGGGGAG